GCCGTGACAGATATGCTGCATTCTTGCTTGCATGCTGCATGCATGCCTGCATTCCTGCTTGTATGCTGCGTGTTTGCGTGCATGAATGGTGTATGCCTGTATGCATGCTTCTTATAGGGAAATAAAAACCACATATGTTCACAATCAACTGTTTTATTAAGTAATAATACATGCGAAAGACAACAGACACATACACACAAGTAATAAGATACATTCACACAACATAAAACAAACAACTAAATAAAATTAAATTTATGGGAAGAAATACAAAATGATGGATAGTCTTTCAATTGTTATAGATATATGAAATATATGCCAAAAGATGCTTCTCACCGTAAACTTTCTGAGATATGATACGTCTGCCTTTTCATGACTATCGATATGAAATTTATGCTCAAAGACGATTCTGACTATGAACTTTCGGCGATATGGTGGTTCTATTTTTTAATTATTATGGATAAGAAGTTTATAAGATGATTATGACTTACAGAATTATGAGTTTTGAATGTATGATAAATGAGTGTCTGCCTAACGATTTTCTGCGAAATGTAGTTAATGCTATCCGTTGTTATGCAAAATAATATTTTAATATAAAAAGTTCTGCTATAAAGGGGGGACCCGAAAAAAACATATCCAGATTTCGGTAATACAGTAAAAAACAGTTGTATGCAAATCACATATACTGGATTTTAAATAGTTTTTTTCTTTACCATCGTCCTTTAATTTAGTCCCTAGCTATAATGTAGCAAGTATAATGTAGCAGTTGTCAAATACTGTATTTTTATAAGTAAATAATTAAAAAAACTAATTTAGCATTATTACTCTATTTTAATGAGTAATTTAACTATTTTCAACAATTTAGACCACGTTTACTGCAAATAAATTAAATTTAAAAAAAATCTAAAGAATTAAAAAAAAAAACGATTAAATTAAAGCTATTGCCTCAATATCGGCAATTTGACACCTACTGTACTTTAACGTTTGTAGGGCAGTATATGTTATAGTTCCCTGGATTAAGGTGGCGGCAAATAAACAACATATCTTCTTTTAATCTATTGTTTTAATACTTCACATAATTCTTACACGTAACAGCCATTTTTACAGAGAGAGATTTTTAAAACGCAGAACACCATAGACAATATACGGTTTCTTTTTTATTCTAATATGACTTCCAGAGGTGGAGCATTGTCTTTACTCATCAGTATAGACCTAGCACTAATCACTGAGGACATCCCATTGTAAGCGCCTTCAAAACAAATGGATGATCACGTCCTATTTTAGTTGTACCTTGTGAATTAATTTAAGGGATGATAAGGGAATAATTTTTTTTAAAGTACTCCCGTGATTTTAATTTCAGCAACAGAAAGGGGGAGGGGTCTCAATGTGTTAAGAATGGTCACCCCTCCATAGCTGACCTGGCTGGGATAGCTTAAATTTGTAATGTTTACCACTTAAAAACCGTCCAAATTTTTTTATCCTATATAAAATAGCCAAAATACTTATTGATTGAGAAGAATTTTGTTGTTTTCAAAAGTTTATCATATTTTTCTCTTGTTTAAAATTTTGTTTAAAAAATATTTCAAATAATACCTTAACGATTTTTACGATAAGTATAATAATGAAATTAATGTTAATTTGATAGACATTTTACTTTGATAATAGTCAAGATAAATTGTTCAAATCTCAGTGTATTAAGTAGTCGTGAGACTTGTTTTTTTTGAAGTTATAACTTCTTATGGGAGGGTAAACCGCTTCGTTACGTAACGCGTGACGGCGCCAGTCTGTCTGGCAGTGATGCGCAAAATGTATCACTGAGCTGAAAAGATTGATATATATCATTTCGCTCAAAATATATATATCACTCATCTAGCTCACTAGCTCATTTAGCTCACTAACTCGTTTAGCTCACTAGCTCATTTAGCTCACTAACTCGTTCAGCTCACTAACTCGTTTAGCTCACTAGCTCATTGATCCGATTCAATTGATTGGTCTCTCAATTAATTAATTTCTTCATCTAGATCGTTTAGCTCAGTATACTCGTATATCACTCACTTTAAGCACGGTACTATTATAATACAGTAGTGTAACTCGGCCGCATGATAGAAATAAATGCCTACAGCCGCGCGGTACTTAAACATGCGTTAGGGCTGCCCGTCTCCAGCATTTTAATTATATTTGCCTACTTTCTGTTTCTATTTAGATTTGTGATTGTAAATATCCTTTTTATATAAATAAATGAAATACTTTGTATATTGAATAGGAAGTGTTCAATAAAAATGCATGTTGTTTTTTGATTGGTAGATTTAATTATTTTATTTTCTTTCTGCATTGGAGGAGTTCAAGTTTCAATTTTCTTTTTCTTGGAGTGTTGCTAGAGAGACTCGTTGAGGTTTGAGTAAAGATTTCATTTGTTGCATTTTCAGTCTGTGTACTATTTTCATTTCCTACCAACGGAGCAGTTTGGGTTTGTTTATCTTCTTTTAGAGATACTCCTGGATCAGTACTAGCTAAGCTTGGCAGTATCAACAATGGTAGGGCATTCTTTTTTAAAAGTTTTCTATTTGATGAATGTAATACATCCTCCAAATTAAAATGTTTTTCACAAACTTGGTAATAACTAAAGTTAGGTTTATTTTCCAAATCATCTCGCCGGATCAGTTGCAACCATTGAAGAAGTCTGAAAAAATACATGTGACACTCTCGGAGACTGCCGCGGTAAAGCTATTGCATAACATTTTTTTTTTAAAAGAAAAAAATCTGCGTGGTGTCAGGTATTTTTCGTTAGGTTTTGAGAATTTCCTGATTCGGTCACCTATGCAATAGCTTAAAAATCCTTCTATAGAATAAAAAAATGTGCTTTCTCCTTACGCGTTACAAAACTCCAATCCTTAGAAACTCCAACACCTACCTACTCAACTAGAATGCAAGAAACAGCTGACGAGTAAGTAACTTTTTATCTCAGCTTATTAACGTCTCTATAAATTAGGTACCTACCTACAACTCAAAACAAAAATTCTTTGGTCACCAATTAATTAATAATTAAAAAGCTGAACAGCTGACTATGATGTTTTAAAATCACAACCCTCAAACATCTAAATATTATATATGAGTCTAGCTGTTATTGTTAATACCGAGAAAATGAAACCAGTTTTTAGTGGTATATGTTATTATAGTAGCAGCAGAAACACTTTGTGAAAATTTCGAAAACTATCTAATGACACACAGACGGTAAAAAAAAATTCTAGTATTATTCATACATTTCATACACACAGATAATAAACAAATATTATTAAAAATAAAATACCACGTCTTTACTTTGAATTATGCAAAGTAACAAAACACACATGCACCGAAGTTTTAACACAAGCGTAAGTAGGTAGGTACCTACCGTATCATGATTAATTCAGAACCGCATATAACTACCTATTTCACTCGTCTCAATAACTTTCCGTTACTCTATTCGCTTTATTTATTAATCCAAACATCTTTTTTTTCGTAAGATAAAAGGAAATACTTATCCATTAAAAAGACACACATTATGTACCTACCTACTAGTAAGTAAAATTATTTTATAGTCTTACCTTTCAGAGTTTCCAGGTAATTTAAAAAAACTTATGTCTGGATGCGTTATTGACGAATTCATACAACCAAAAACAACACACCGTCCGTCCGACACTGCGGTACAGCCGTGACTGTCTGCACCCCAAGCGCACCCCGAGATCGAGCCGCGTAGGTATAGCTCGCGTTTCGTCCGTTTGTATGAAGTTGGAGTACTGTATTATAATTGTACCGTGCTTTAAGCCTCTCTCGCCATACAAACCTTTCTTTATTTTCATATTAACCTAAATTCAGTTTTTGAAACTACATGTTTAACCTATTTTTTTTAATACAATTTTATTCATTTTGATAAGATTACATAATTATTAACATTCTTTTACATAATAATTAAAAATAAGAAATTATTTCTTGTGCTTTTTTTTAGGTTGTATAATAGAAATCATACATAATTTGATCCTATAGAAATAATGAAAGCACGAATGGCGTAGTGGTTTAAGCGGTCGCCACGCCGCTTCCTACTACGCCGAGTGTTGTGGGTTCAAACCCCACATGGGACGACACTTTGTGTGATCCACAAATTGTTGTTCTGAGTCTGGGTGTTCTTTGTGTCCGTTTCATGTATGTTTGTAAAGTCCCCCGCGACACAGGATTTATTCCTAATGCGGGAGTTGTCTTTAAAAAAAAAAAAAAAAAAAAAAAAAAAAATTTACATTTTGCATAAAGAAACTTGCGTGAATTCAACTATAATCTATCTCACTAATTTATCTGTAGTCTCCATCGCTCATGAAACAAAGATCGGCGTCGTTGAGATAGTGATCTAGTGAGCTAGTACTGAGTTACTGATATATTCGGAGCTAGTGTGAGTGAGTGATACATTTTATCGTCGTGAATGATATATATCTTTTATATCACTCACTCAGGAGCTATACAACTCTACTGTCTGCCTTCCTTGGATGAGCCTGCCTACCGATGCCGTATGCGTGGGAGAACCCTTCAATTTTTCTCACCTCTCCACTCTCACTCTAAACCACAATGCCAGCCTTATTTCGGACAGACGCTTTACATAAAATTTAAGTAATAAACTAAGCTTTTCTCAAGTTAAACATTTTCAATATTAAAAAAAAAAAAAAAAAAAAAGTTCAATTAAGGTTAGTTTAAGTTATCACTTCTGTCGGGCATCCCGCGACGTGCTACCAATGCTGTACGGTAGATTAAATTTTAGGAAGCGGCAACACTGACTTTTATTAGGTTTCGTGCGTGGATCAGTCGAGCGCTCAATGTAGAGTTCGTTCCGTTTTCTCAGTCTTTAAAAAAACACATGTTTACGAAACTAACGGAGCAATTCTCGTCATTTTTTAAATAATAACCAAGTTGAAATTTTGTATATCAATAATGAAGTGCTCTCTATTTTGAAAAAGTGATAGTGTAATTTTGGAGGTAAAATGCCCGCTTCCATTTGCGACCCAGTAACAAGCGCATTGCGTTTATCTCTTACACCAGACGAATCCCAAAGTTCTTCTGTGCTGGACAGTAGACTTTATTCGTCGGCAAAAAGTGTGCTTTTATCGAAGATTGAGTTTGAAGAATCTGGTGATTACCAAAGCAATGTTCTTGATGGGTTGAAGTCTAAGTACGTGGTGATTCGACCTAAAAAACCCGTGCATGAAAGTAAACTCATCAAAAAAGAGTGTAGTTCAAACAGCCAAACATCAGGTAACTTACACAATACTTCTAATATTGTAAATAATGTTTGTTTGTTATCTACATGCACGATAAGACCAATTTAGAGGTTATATTTTATGGTCACTTGTCAACAAACGTCATGAGATCAAGGAAATAATACACTATCATACTATAGAATGTATGTATCGAATCTTGTAAATGTTTTGCTAATTTGTGTTAGAAATATTTTATTGTTAAATAGCTAATTTCTAGCGTTTCAAATACTTTCGTAGTATATTGTCAAAAGCATTCGTCATCAGTTTCTTTAGCTATAGTCACAGTCTTTTACACTTTTCCTAATAATTCCTATTGATGTACTGTACTTTAATACAAGGAATAGTCCTATTACTGTAATGTGGGCACATTGTATCTGACTATTATTATTTAGTGAAGGATTACAAGGTATTGAAGAGAGCTTATGGAGACTGTCATCAATATTAAAATAAAGTATGTGTGTGGATTACCATTCTCATGTGATAGGTGTTACATACCTTTGAATTGCTTAATGTTTCAACCAGGTTACACTTGCCTGTGACCGTTCACAGGCTGACTACTGTGACTGCTGCGAAAGCAAAAGTTTAAAAGTTAGTAATATCAATAATTATTTGAAAGCTAAATTTTTTTAAGAAAAATAAGAATCTTCACTTTAAAAATCTTACATTGCTGAAATTGTGGTTACATCACACAGCTACCAATCAAACATTGAAGTTGAGTTTGACAACTGAGTATGTATGTATATGATTTCTACAAACACACTGCCACCTATATCCTGGAAGAGGATGACAAAGGTGTGTTCAACACTGACATATTGAAAACTCTAATTTTAGTCCCACTTTCTAATCTAATAGGATGCAAGCCTATTGCTGTTGACTATACACTTTAGGGATTAGATAAAAAAAAAATGCATGAATAAAAATTTAAGCATAACTTCAAGCATTAAGTTAACTGCCTCAGTAGTGCAGTGGTAGCGTATGCAAATTCTGTGCTTAGGTCTAGGGTGTGATTCCCAGGTCAAAATTGATATTTGATATGCAAATGTTTCCGAGTTTGGATGTTTTCTTTGTATAATATGTATGTATTTATTTATTTTAAACTTAATGCACATATTGTACAAAGGCGGACTTAATGCCATTAGGCATTCTCTCCCAGTCAACTTTCAGGTGATGTAGAAATATGATGCGGTAGGTGTAAAATAAAATTTGAAATTTAACATAATTTAGGTCCAGAAACATACACAATATAAAAACACACATGCATACATAAACCTACATAAATTATATATTTACATATTATAATTATAAATTTACGAAAACCATAGTACTTATATAAGTATTTTATCAGTCAATCTAGCTTTCATAGTACAAGCTTTGCTTCGTTTGAAACTATTGAATGTCTGAAAATATTATTAGCTCAAGAATGATTTCTAAGTGAGATTATGTATTTTTTTCATTCCTACTTTTATTGAATTATTTTATTTATTGTATTGCAGACACCAACAAAAATGTAGAAGAAGGGTTGCCCAAACCCAAACGGGTGCTGTTCCCACTTGAAAAGGTTCACTTGGGATGGCAAAATGCATGGGCAGCCGGTGCTGGCATGCAGAATGTGGGCAACACCTGTTATTTGAACTCTACACTGCAGGCTCTATTTCATGTACCTGCCTTAGCTAATTGGTTAGTCATGGAAGTCACTCATGCTGAGAAGTGTAATCAACAAGGTATGAACTTACTTTATTTACTTAAAGATGTATAATTCCAATATGCGTCACATATTACTAGTATTTGTTTTAACCATTTCATCTAATCTTAATGCTCCTAAAGTGGGGTCACAACCTGCAGCTGCTCAATTGCAAATATTGTCTTAGTAACATAATGTTAACACACTAAATGTTAACACTACAAATTTTGAACATAATGTTTAAAATTAATAGATACATTTTTTGAAATGAATTAACAGAACTAAAGTTTTAACACTTAATAAATTTTAAGTTAAATATTTAATGAATGCATCAATACTGCCCTTACGCTGCGTCTTCACATTGTAATGTGATTCATTTTGCCTGTATTAATTTATTTGTCAGGGAAACAAACAGGTACTTTTATGGTTCAATAACATAAAAAAATAATGTATTAACATTTACAATACTACTACTACTACTAATTAATGCTCGTATTAGTTGGTTGATAGTAGTACATTTGAGTAATGCCACATGTAGCAGTGTAAGAAGATGAGGTGTATAAACGGTATGAGATAATTCACCAAAGAGGAAAAATATTTGATGAGAAATTGTAACTAATGTTATGTTATGTTATAAAATACCTACCTTACATGTTTCAATCTTTTGTGAATGAATAAATGAAATAAATAAAATATGTAAATTAAAAGTGACTGTGAGAAATAAAAATGTTAAGTAATACTATTAAGGTGATAGTACAACATCAAGTGTTTAATTTATTATATTACAGAAGCATGTGTTATTTGTGGAATGCGCGCGACATTAATGGCGACACAGAAGAGTGGTGGTGCATCCATCAAGCCCTGGCAGGTCTATTCAAAGTTACGTCTCATATGTAGACATTTGACACCAGGCAGACAAGAGGATGCTCATGAGTTCCTGAGGTAAAATATCATAAAAAAATTAAAACTTGTTTATATATATATATATACAGAAAAAAATATTATTTTTAATTTAAATCGTCATGCATTGTTCAATCTTAGTGTAAAGTTGAAATGACAATATCAACCTGTAAAAATTTAACAAACCCAAATTACTGTTGATTTTTTCTGTGTCTTCCTGTTATTTTGTATATAATATGTATGTATTTAGAAATATGTAAGTTTGTTTATCAGCAGCCTGGTTACAATAGACAGTCAGCCTAGTTTGGGATCAGATGGCCCTTTGTGAAGTTATTAGTATTATGTCATAGCCTCTATATACTAGAGTAGAGGTACTAGTTGTTGATGGTTGTTTGCCCACTTTGTAGCTTATTATTACGTCTTAATATTATTAGGCATTGTGTGTCAGATGTCTGAAAATATTATTATTAGTTAAGTAGCTAAGCACAGTTTTCTAATGTTAATATCTAAAGATTGTAAAATCGTCCTTGAAGGGCCTGAAGTATCCTTATACCTATATAATCATCATCATCAACAGCCTATAACAGTCCACTGCTGGACATAGGCCTCTCCTTAGAAAGGAGGTTTTGGCCTACTATACCACGCTGGCCAGACAGGTTGATAACTATATAATATTTGGATGAAATGGTTCAATATTTCACTCATTTCATGAAATGTGTTTATTTTAGGTATCTGGTAGAGGCTATGGAGAAGTGTTATTTAAATCGGTTCATAAATTCTGACAAATTGGATCAGTACAGCAAAGAGACTACTCCCTTAAATCAAATTTTAGGTGGCTATTTACGCTCTACCGTAAGATGTCTTGCATGTCATCATCTATCCACTACCTATCAGCACTTTCAGGTAACATGGCCATCATCAATAATGATACTTTTGTTAATACACATGTTAATAGGTGTTACTCTAAATCATACAATATTTTTTACAGGATCTACTTTTAGACATAAGAAAACACACTACATTAGATGAAGCATTGGAGTCCTTTTTCTCTCGCGAACGGTTAGAAGATTTAGGTTACAGATGTGAAGCATGCAATAAAAAGGTAAATAATAATAATAGCCTTTTATTCCTAAACATAGGGTTACAAGAGGTTCCTAAGTTCGGTGGCCCTCCCCCGGTTTGGGTTTTGTCCCTTCTACTCTCAACCACACTGGTCCCGCTGTCTGTTTCAAGTCATCTTCCCATCTCCTGACTAGACGACTCCTACCCCTTTTGCCGTCTCTTGGTTGCCAGAGGGTGACTTGCTTGCTCCATTTGTTAATGGGATGGCATAGCATATGTCCAGCCTATCTCCATTTTTGGACGTCTATCCGGGTAAGAATGTCTGTGAGTTTAGTTCTTGTTCTTATGTCTACGTTCCTGACTCTGTCTTTGATTTTTAACCCTAGCATGCTTCTTTCTATGGCACGTTGGCATTTTGTTAACCTTTCCCTGTGGTGAAGTGTTATTGACCAAGTTTCACAGCCATAAGTAAGAACTGGTAGAATACAGGTCTCGGATGTTTTCTTTTTTATGTGATTGCGTAGATCCTTACTTTTCACAATTTCCTTCAGTGACCAGTATTTTCTCCATCCTTGGGCTATTCGCCTGTTTATTTCCTTTGTCATTTCATCTAAAGAGGGTATTATCTGTCCTAAGTAAATATATTCTTTGACATATTCAATCCTGTTGATCATAACATCTATTTCCCTTGAGTTTGTCATCAATTTTGTTTTACTGTCATTAATTTCCAGACCAACTTTTTGATAGGAAATGATTCTCCTGTTGATTCTAGTTTTATAATGGCCTTGTTAGATTTGTATATACTCTTAAGTATTTCGAACTATTTGCTCTATTTGCATATGTATTGGTGCCTGAGGTTGTGGAATGCCTTTGAGTAATCTATAAACGCCAAGTAGATTGGTTTATTGTATTTGTTATACTTCTGTATCAACTGTTTTATTGTGTGAATGTTATCACAAAAAGGTAAATAACTATACTTTATTTATTGCCATAGGGTTTTGTATAAGCCCTTCACACCAATGCCTTTACCACAGAGCTTTGCTATGTATACTTAAAGATTTATTGTTCCTCAAAATTTACATAACTTCAATATTTATTGTTTTAGGTATCGGCTACAAAGCAATTTTTTATAGAACGGGCACCAATGGTTCTTTGTATAGCACTGAAACGGTTCTCATTTGCTGGTGGCAAACTCTCCAAACATGTGCAATTCCGAAAGAAGATCAGCCTCAACAAATACATGTACAACAAGAATAATCAACAACTGGTGAGTTTGAGTCAAAACCAGTTTTTTTCAGTTGCAAATGTCACTTGTTCATCAATAACATTATGGAATATAAGAAAAGTAGCTAATATAATTATTTATTTCAGTCTTATAAACTAGTGAGTGTAGTTACCCACTTAGGTCCAACTCAGAACTGTGGACATTACACTGCTGTAGGACAAGCTCCAAATGGTAATTATTATCAATTTGATGACAGTTGTGTTCGGCCAATACCACTTTCAGGAGTGTTAAGCACAAATGCCTATATAATGTTCTTTGAAAAAGAAAATGTAACAGAAGAGATATCCGCATCTACTGCATCTACATCTAGTATAGTTTATGGACCACAATTACCTAATAATATATTAAAAAGAGATAAAAGTCCCCTAAAACTTACATTCTACAGAAATGAGGACAAAAAACCCATTCTCCTTAATAGTACTTCGGTAGTATCTGCAAAGTCAGATATGCCTATCATACTTAACAGTACACTTGGAAAATCATCAGAAATAAATAGTTCAAATTCAGAGCCATGGGTTGTAAAACAGAATGGTGAAGTAGAAAAAATTGTTCAACCTCCTAAGATTTTGAATGGAATAGATAAAATAGAAGATAAGAAAATCAGTTTTGTAATAAAAAGACAAAATGGTGACGAAAGTGCTGCCAAGGCTAAGTTGTCCAAGAGCGAATCAGATCTTAGATCATTGACTGGTACAAAAAGTTTCGAAAAATTTGCTTCCACTAGTAAACTAGTTAAGACACCAAAGTCACCTTTAGAAAAATTAGAAGAACAAATGAATAGAAGCGAATCGTCGGCCCAATCGCCGAGGAATGGTTCCACGGGCTCGAGACTTGTGCCCTACGACTCAGAGTCGAGCTGCGACGAGCGGACCGATGCACATGATGAGGGGCGCCGGCCTAAGCCTAGCCGCTGTGAATCTCCCCGTGGGCTTGTTGTCACCACAAAGAGCATGCACCATGCCTGGACCGTTTCCAGTGAGAAGAGTGGCCCCCTATTGAGCCCTAGCTTAAATGGAGTCACTAATAAAAAGTAAGTAAATTTTATAAAGACGAAATTGACTAATTGAGTTTAAAGACAATGTATTGAAATGAACATGAACTTCATTTCAATACATTGTCACGATATTTGAGGCTTCCTCATACAATAAGAACAATTTTCTACTAGGCAGGATGCGGTTATATTTGGTCAAAACTGTCATGGGTTGGGGTCCCACACTGAGAGGTAACTTTTAATAATTATATAAATTTAAATATGATGTAAAAACAAATTCATAAGTTTGAGAATACTTATTTATAAACGTAAATGTGGCATATTCCGCCCATTGTTGATCCAATTACACATTACAAGGCCATTCATTATATATTCAGTGTCATTCGTGGTTCCAGAGTTAAAGAGAAGGAGGAGCGTCGAGACAATGAACAGAGTCCCAATACGAGTGTTAGTAGCATGTCACCGCTCAGCGACAGAAGCGGGGCAGGTATGGCGCCTCCTGTGTCTGCAACCGTCCTAGAAGCGCAAGCGCCAGCCCCCGCGCTCGGGTCCGTGCCTGGGCCCGCGCCCGCCACGGCTGCCGCCTCTACGGCCGCCCAATCACCCGCGGCAGCGTCGTTGGACACACTGCGCCATCTACAGGCCGTGTCACACCGCGGTTACGGCGCGCCGGTCCATTCCTGGAGCGGAACTCACAGTGCACTATCCCGACAGGTATGGCTCATGCCAAATGAATTTAATTCTGTATCTCTCTTGTAAACAAAAAAGGTACAAATGCAGGATTGGCTTTTATAGCCAAAATTCTTGGATGCCATTACGCGCTTAATATTTTAAAACAAGAATAACACAACAATGTTATACTTATACACTCACAAAAAAGGATTTAAAGGGATTGTCCTTACAGGTATTTGACGAACGGCGTGAGGAGCGTAAACGAACAATTGACGCTGCTGATGAGATGGACCGGGGCCGTAACAAAAAAGTTAAAAAATTTCACAACTATAATAGGTTCAATAGTAGTCGAAACGGGTATAATCCATTTCAGGTAATAATAATAAACATTTAAAATTGTATTCTACAAAGTAATAAGAGAGGGAGAGAGAGAAATATTTACTATGTTTTTTTTTATAGGAAAAGCAAGATAAGCCGCATTGGGGTAACAATTTCAAGTACCGAAACGAACGCCGCCCGCCCCACAACTTTAATAAACATCATAGTAATAAGTACAAGCGGTTTAACAGGTGATTACAAACTTATTTGAATGTTTTGTATGAGTTAGAAATTTTAAAAGTTGATGTGAACCTGTGGATTTTACAAGTGCTAACAGTTAGGTAGTGCTCTTTTAACTTTACAATTTTCTCACAACATTTACTAATAATGTTAAAATGCTTTATTTCAGGTACAGTAATAATGGGCACCACTATCCCAGACACCATTGACCCCGGCTGACTTGTGTCCACTTAATTGTGTATATAAATAGTATATGGACTTAAATTCTTAGTTAAATAAGTCTTTATCAATATAAGCAATAGATACACTCCCATATATGAAGTCATTGTTTTGCTACTGCCATACAGTCTATAATAAGCTTATAATAAAGATAGTACTATTATATGTTTTTTTAGTAGACATATATTAATAAAACAGAAATTAAGGATAAACAAAGTATGTACTACCAGTATCAGCCTTTAAACATAAACGCAAATAGTGACCTCAGATATTAATATCTATTATAATTATAGCGAAATTATATATTGTGATCTAAATGGTAAAAGAAATAGAGAGTTTGTTTGTCGGAGTATTGGTGATCAAAGGGTCAGTTATGTATAAATAGTTAGGGAAATCTGGTGTTTGAGTGTAATATGAGTAATAAATTTTGGCATACATTTATTATACTAAGAATGATTATTGGTATGTTATGGCATGCTACACACAAAGAACAAGCTTATTTAACCTTATTGTTTCCAAGTATTTTAGATTCCCAATTAAGAAATAGCTGTGGTAATTCTTAATTGGTCCGTGTGGTGACGGATTAAGAATAAGGAATGTCACCACCCCTATTCACCCGTGGGTGTCGTAAGAGCCGACTAAGGGAACAAACTGCATAGGACAACAGCACTGCAAAAAGAAGGAAACTTGAAACAAACCCTATACCAACCCGTCTGGCCAGCGATGTATAGTAGGCTAAAACCTCCTTACTAAGGAGAGGCCTATGTCCAGCAGTGGACTGTTATAGGCTGTTGATGATGATGATGATGATGTGGTAGATGAAATCATGTTTGCAATATATGCTTAGTATTGATAAATGTATTTATTTTTCAAGTTTATTTTATTTTCAGTCTACCATGAACCAAGTACTTAAAGTACAGATGTGTTCTATTCAAATAACAAATTAATAAGTTCGCCTCTGCTGCATTTACTCGTGATCATATTGACACTTCAATGTGGTTGGCTCAATTTAAATGGACCTCTATTACCTCTATTAGGATCGTGTAAATGCATTTTTATAAAATGTGTGTAGCTCGCCTCATGTAAATATACTTACTCTGTACTTTGTTAAAACAAATATTAAGCATGCCTGCTCCAATATTTTGAGTGACATTTCTATTCTTCTTTTGTTGACTTCGTATTAGTTTCTGTATAAAAATAATTATTTTAGTCAAATTGCTGTTACCTTAATATTATTATGTAATTTACCTTCCTGTGGTAAATAAAATGTAGGTATTCATTGTTATTCGTATTTACTGCATATATTTATTAGGGACCTACCCCCTCAATATACTCTTTATATTTTAACTAAAAACCATGTATATTCATTACGAACATTGTATGTATAGAACGCCTTAAAGATAAGAGGGTGATTTATGACGACTATTTACATATAAGGCTCCTTTACTATAAGAAGAAGAAATTACTTCATTTGAAATAGTTATAATTTAGTTTTATTTAGAAACTAGTGCTTAATTGTCCTGTTAAAGCGACGAAAAATATTTATGAAGATACAGTGCACTGTTTATTTTGTTGAAACTTGAATATATCTTTAATGTGTGAATTTGTACCAGTCATTACAGTACAATACATGATCCACATTCGATCTTTGGTATGCATAGTTAGTAATTACATAATTATCTACATCAGTTGACAGAAAGGCTGTTGATTAAAACGTTCATCTTCTTCTATTGCTAAAACATGTTTGCCAGTTTAAAACTATTCTGTAGAACTATACCCGGATAAATATCGTTTCTTAGAATGTGGTCGCGTTTGTAAAGTTTTCCACTGTTTTCAAAGCAAACAAAAGAAACAGACCTAAAAGGTTGCACTGAAATTTAGGCTGTAAATAAATTGTTAGGTAATACTTGAGTGTCCTACTATCTTAATTTGGATAGTTATTAATTGATGAACTATGGGCCTCACAGTTTTTAATGCAAGAAACACGATTATCACTGAATTGAAGTGTTTTATTTAAAAGCCTTCTTATACCAAGTTCGGAAGTTGTGAATCGTTATTTATTTAGTCATTCACAACAGTGAACAGAATCCAGAATATTTCTTAAAATCGTAAGAATGATATATATAGTATGGATAATATTACCATTAAAATATTATTATATACCCTCGCACAATCTATAAAGCCCAAATATTAGGTCTTTACCTATAAAATTGCCGTTTTGTATGCAATAAGCGAAAGTACTTATTTTTTCAAACTTTTTTATTTCTGTTATTCGAAGTATTCACCCATGCAATCGACGCATCTTTGCAAACGCATTGGCAGTTTATTGATGCCCTTCTTGTAAAAATCAGCTGGACGGGAGGTAACAAACTCTTCAAAGGCATTTTGTACTGCCTCTCGGGAATTGAATTTTTTACCCACTAAAAAGTTGTCTAAATTTTGGAAAAAGTAATGGTAAGTGCAAGGTCTGGTGAGTATGGCGGATGAGGGAGAGCTTCCAATCCCAGCTCTTGCAGCTTGGAGACTGTCTGTTGCGCAGTATGGGGTCGCGCTTTATCGTGAAGGAGCAGTGGGGAGGACCGATTGACCAAAGCTGATTGCAGATATGACCACCAGACCTTGCCTACCGACTATTACTTTTTCCAAAATTTAGACAACTTTTTAGTGGGTAAAAAAATCAATTCCCGAGAGGCAGTACAAAATGCCTTTGAAGAGTTTGTGAACAAATTACTTTTGGTACCGTAACCGACATACATCGCAACCCCATCTGTAACAACCAACTACATCAAAATGTCACCATTCATCCGTACCTATTGCACAAATATACAATATCAGTTTCTCATCACTGGATCCTTTCAACACTCCCCGAAATTCTTATAAAGGTAAACTTATCTACATTTTGTCCCAAGAACAAGAATTGCCACAATAACATACCATCACACTTTGAACATCTCACACACCCTATATAAACAACATTCACTCACACACACTACTCCACATAAAAACTACATTATTACTATCTGTTTATTAAAGATGCACTACGAGTATATTAGGTATTGTTACGAGCGGGGTAAATGATAAATAATTGTTGTCGATTAATTACTTTTATTGCACTGTATTTACTAACACTCACTATAACAAACAAGAAATCACTATTTCACTCACTTCGATGTAAATTCGCTGTTTTAAAACGATAATGTGTCGAACGGCCAACACTCTCCGCTTTTATAGCGCTATCGAATTTACCAGAAAGATCCCTAGTATTCGATAGTCCGTTCCAGACAAACAAGAATATTCAGGCAGCAGTTACGCATTACTTGCAGCGCCATCTAGCGCGAATTAGTAATCACAATCTTAACCTTTGTATTTGACTCGATACTAGATGGCGCTGTCCTCGACATTCCATACAATTCTGAAGCAATCGTACCATTTAATCTAATGGCACAACACTAATATTTGCAGAAGTTAGTCTTGGCAATGCCAAGATTAACTTCTTCGGCATCGACGCATTCAATTCACATCTTCGCAAGTACCGATCAGTGTGCCCATATGAATCACGTGTTGCCTGTCACTAACATTTAACACGTATTGCAGAGAAGTTACTAGAGTTCGTGCGATTTTTAATGTAACGTCTAATTTTACCTTTCAATAAGAACACACCGATGCAATCCAGAGTCCAGAGTTATGAGGAAGACTAACTGGAGGAAGAAAAATTCATAACAGGCATGAACGGACCATTGAGTTATAATGGACTACATACTAGAGAAGCCATTTCGAACAAAGGATATCGCGCAACTTGATGCAGCGGGGCAAGCGGGGGAGTTTATTACGTTTTCATAGAAAATAAAGGAATGCATAGCGATGCAACATTTTTTTATTATTCTTTTAGAAAATAAAGGTATATTTTTGCTATAATATTTTTATCTAATTACCCATTACATAACCATTCCAGTTTAGATAAAAACTTATTTTAACTTAATGTTTCAACCGAATTGCAGCGGACCGTATCAGATGTGTTCGGTGATTTAAGGTGCTTGGTTCATTTAAAAAAATTGAATTAAAGGTGTAAATAATAGGGGTCAAAGTATTGTGGAAGACGGGGAAACTGGTCCTCCTCCGAAAGGAGGGGGGGAGGGGCGCCCGGCGGACTCACCGTCCGCCTACCGGCCCATAGTGTTGCTTGACGAGGTGTGCAAGCTCACTGAAAGAGTGATAGCAAGGCGCCTCGTCAAGCATCTCGTGATGGTGGGGCCGGATCTGGCGGACAACCAGTACGGTTTCCGTCAGGGGCGCTCTACCGTGGATGCGATCATGCGCGTGAAGGCTCTGGCGGAGGAAGCAGTTTCCCGGGTCGAAGTGGTGTTGGCGGTGTCCTTGGACATCGCCAACGCGTTCAAAACTGCCCTGGAGCTGCATCAGGGAGGCGCTCGTGTATCACGAAGTGCCTTTCTACCTCCGCCGCATAGTCGGGGTATATTTGTCGGAGAGAGCCGTCGTCTACCCCAGTAGGACCGGTCTCGGTAGGCGTGAAATGTCATGCGGTGTCGCACCACGAGGCAACCCTGAGGGCCACGGCCGGGGTTGCCTAAGTCGTTGAGCGAATCCGGCGGCTGGGTCTCGAGGTGGCTCTGCACAAGTCCGAGGCGCTGTTCTTCCACGGGCTTCGGAGGAAGCCGCCTGAGGGATCTAGCCTCACGGTAGGAGGCACTCGCATCGGCATCGAGCCCTCGATCAGGTATCTGGGGCTCGTACTCGATGGCCGATGGGACTTCGGATATCATTTCCGAGGTCTGGTCCCCAAGTTGGTTGGGGCAGCGCGTGCGTTGGCCTGGCTGCTGCCCAACATGAAGGGACCCGATGACTCCTGCAGGAGACTCTACTCGGGGGTTGTGCGGTCCATGGCCCTTTACGGGTGCCTAGTATGGGCGGGGGCTCTGAGGGCCAGCAACTTTGCGATACTGCGACGACCGCAGCGAGTGCTGGCCATCAG